TATTTAATAAATCAATAGAGTCAGGCAGAGTGCCAGAGTTTTGGAAAGTTGCTAACGTGATACCAGTTTTTAAGAAAGGAGATAGATCACTTGCATCTAACTATCGACCAATTAGCCTAACGTCTATTGTGGGAAAGTTACTCGAATCTATAATAGCAAATAAAATTCGTCTTCATCTTGAAAAACTGAAGTGGTAAATCTTCATCTTGAAGTGGTAAAATTTTTATTCAATAAATGTATTTTTGTATTGTGTGGTGAGGTCGCATTTAATCGTCAGGTCTATGTTGTTGTTGTTCAAAATTCAAAAAATTTTAAAAAAATCAAATTCAAATGTTTATTCAGATAAAGTACATATACAGGGTGTGATACAAATATTGATGAATTTATAGATAGAGCTAGTACATACAATGCCTAAAGCCACTATTACGCAAAGCGTTTCGGGCAGGAAAACACTAAAGACTAAAACTTAATACTAATTGAGATTAAAGTATAAAATGTGTTGAGAAAATATAAACAGTGTCAGTCAGTCAGAGAAAGTATAAACAGTCAATATAAAATTGAGTAAAATGTCTCCAGTGATTTTTTGTTTTCTCCACCAAACTTGTGTATCTTTCATGGCTATCTAGTGTTCTTTATTCTACTTCTAATTGTTCCATTTTTTGTATACTTGCATTTATTGTTGTGTTTTACTATAATAATTCTCTAATTATAGCAGACTTAGCATTTATGTAAGCATCTACCTCAGTGTCTTAGTAAAATCTTGCTCATAAATATAATCTTACCCTGTTATTTTAATTTTTTTTTTAAATTTTTATATTTAATTGTAATTTGATTTATACATCATTTATTGTAATTAATTATTGAGCTCATTTTTTGTTCTTAAAAACGTAGTTCGTACGTAAGTTCTAAGTTCGTACTAATTATAGGCTCACAACTAAGCTATATTAAATAATATATTTTTAAGATTATTTTTACTTTACGATTATTATGTCTCATTATTTTTTGCTACATATTATTCTTGTCAGTCTACTGATTTTTTCTTCTCTCTTAACCTAACTTCTGTATCCTTCCTGGCTATCTACGGGGATCTTTACTCTACTTCAAATTGTTTCTATTTTTTGTGTATCTACGTTTATTGTTGTGTTTTGCTATAATTACTTTCTATTTACAGCAGATTTAGTATTTAACTGTTCCTGTAATTGCTTATCTTATTGTATCGTGACATTATTGTATCTATATGCTTACTGATATTGATCCTGATCGAAATCTGTCCCATATCCACACAAATCAGCACATTGATCATCATTATTGCAGGTATTACACAGCAAATCTTGCAAAAAACAAACTCCTAAATAACACCTGCTTATCAGTTTACAACCCAAATGTTAGGTCACTTGGTAAACATTTTGATGATATAAATGCACTACTCACAGCACTAAGTACTAAATTATCATTCATCATTTTAACAGAAACTTGGCTAAGTAAAGACTATACCCAGCTCAACAACTTAGCTGGTTATAAAGCCATTCATAACTGCAGGCCTAATAATAAAGGAGGTGGCACAGCAATATATTACAAAGATACCTTCATCTGCAATAGTGTCATTAGTGATAGAGACAACTATTGTGAATATACCTTTGCCAAGTTCTCCAGTAAATCCCTTAAATCCTCCCTGACTATCGATGCCATCTATAGATTTCCTAATACCAACATAGCTTCATTCTCAGACAACGTAAGGAATCTTATCATAAATAACAATCTCAACAAAAATCACATCATTCTGGGAGGTGATTTCAATATTGACCTGGGTCTTCAAAACAACCCTCAAGTTGACTATTTCCGTAACAGCATGCACTCCTGTATGCTAATCCCCACAATCACCAAGCCCACCCGAGTCACTCAAACATCTGCCACTACTCTGGATCACTTATGGACTAATATAACAGCTCCCCTTACAGTTAGTTAGTTTAGTTCATTTATTATGCACCCCATACCCATCTTGTGGGCGGTAGTGGAAAGGGTTACAGAGGCACATAATGGGCTCAGGGACTGAACCCCACAATTCATTTAGCTAAGCAAGTTACAGTCTTGATGAGCTAGTCACAAAATTCAATATAAGTCATCACATCAACAATGGTTTCGAGATCGACCTCAAGTACAGGTTCTAAATTAAGCAACTGACATATGTGGAGAGCTAGTGTCAAAATTTATATGTTTGTCCTGCACACCGCCCCCCATCCAGTGGGCAGCGGTGGATAGGTTACAATCACTTAGTTACTACCTACAGTTAGCAAACTGGGGATATTTGGCTAAAATTTCTGGTAGCAGATCATTTTGAATGAAATATTGACACATCGCTGGAACATTGGTTATAGAATTGTCTCTAAATTCACGTATCTTTTCGCACTCCATCACATAGTGACGGAGGGTGTGCGAATAATTTTGTTGACACAGTTTACATTTGGTCAGGTCTACATCAGCAGATAATGAGAATTCCCAGAGATACTTGTAACCGAGTCTAAGCCGAGCAGTAGTAACATCTAGAAGTCTGCTGATTTTATTGGATGATCCATAGATGTGTGGCTCCTCTTGCATGATAGTATGATGATAGATGGAATTACATCTGGGGTAATCTATGACAGAACAACTGACCACTATCCTACCTTCCTCATAGCAAACATGGACACAATACCTCCAGAAAGCAAGAAACTCTCATTCAGGCTACACAGTGAATCAGCTTTAGGCAATCTCTCTAATGCCCTTCACAATATTAACTGGGAATCTGAATTTAATAAAACACAGGATATAAACTCATTAACTAACCTCTTTCTCTCCAAAACTCTAAGCCTCTACAACACTCACTGTCCCCTCCTTACCAAACAAGTAACAGATAAAAGAACAAATAACCCGTGACTTACAAGTGGCATAATTAAATCAATCAACAAAATACATGAATATGAAAAGAAATTTAGGATTGGCCTAGTTACAAAGGAAGTAGTTAAAAGGTACTCATCAGTGCTTACTAGTATCATAAGAAAAGCTAAACTTTCATATTATGAGACTAGATTCAAAGAAGCAAAAGGCAATATGATAAGCACATGGAATACCACCTCTAATATCCTAGGAACAAAACAACACTCCCACAACCAGATAACACTCTCTAAGGATGGCTTTACACCGTCAACTGATTTAGAAATGGCAAATGAATTTAATAGCTTCTTTTCATCGGTTGGTGCTAACCTAGACAGTAAAATCCCACAGACTCAGACACATGTCAACACATATCTCTCAGGCAGCTATCCAAACTCTCTTCTCCTTTCACCAGTCAGCCCGACAGATGTTGTGTCCATCATACACTCACTAAAAACCAAAGCTGGGAACATCAGTGAAATCCCATCCATTGTATACAAGAGAGCCTCCCAAGCCCTTGCGCGACCTATAGCTCGGCTGTTCAACAAATCCCTTGAGTGTCATACCTTCCCTGATATTCTTAAAAAAGCAAGAGTAACACCAGTTCATAAAGGAGGTAATCCGGCAGACATAAACAATTATAGACCAATATCAAACCTACCCATCCCATCAAAAATATTTGAAAAAATTATCTACAAACAGCTCTACTCCTATCTCGTAAAATTCGACATTCTTAGCCCCTGTCACTTTGGCTTCCGCTCCCAAAAGAGTACCAACGATGCAATTATTAGTCTTCTCGATATAATTTACTCAGCCCTTGACAAAAATGAGTTTCCGATTGAACTCTTCATTGACCTGAGAAAGGCCTTTGACACTTAATAACAATTACCTCTTACGTAAACTCCATCATTATGGAATCCGAGGCCATGCACTGGATCCATGCACATCCAATCCTATCTTAGTGATAGACACCAATGTGTAGCCATCAATAATATAACCTCTCCCACTCTACCAATAACCGTTGGAGTGCCACAGGGCAGCATCTTGGGACCTCTCCTATTTCTTATATACATCAATGATCTGCCTAATGTCTCTAACATTCTGAAACCTATTTTGTTTGCTGATGATACTACCCTCATCTACTCTAACCCCAACCCACATACACTAAATGATGTTGTTAATAATGAACTAAAAAAAGTCCACTTATGGATGTCAACCAACAAATTAACACTTAACATAGAAAAGACCTACTACATTTTATTTGGATGCAAATCTACAAATGCAATTCAGCTTCAGATAGATAATGTAAACATTAGCAATAAAAATGATGGAAAGTTTCTTGGCCTCCCAAGCCCTTGGGAGGCCAAGTGTTATCATGATGACATCCTTGAGAAAGAAGGAGTGGAGGGTACCTTCGCTTACGTAGATGATGTCTGTGTGTGTGGAGATTCTGAAGAAGACCATGATAAAAATCTGAAACATTTTATGGACGTTGCGAGAAGGTGTAACCTGACCCTGAATCTTGAAAAGTGTAGTTTTCGACTCAGGTCTATAAAGCTGTTGAGATATCTTATACAAGAAGGAGAAATTAGACCTGACCCGGAACGTCTCGAGCCACTGTTAAAACTTCCACTACCAAGTAACACAGGTTCTTTATGCAGAACAATGGGAATTGTTCTGCATAAAGAACAATATTATATATAGTTTAAGCACACTACTCCCGTTGGGTGCTGGGTTTTTCTGAGAAGATCCGTCCTCTCTCTCATGCCAATGATTTTCCCTTATCTGCTGTCGCTGCGAAAGCTTTTGAAGGATTGAAACAAGACATTGCTGAGGCAGTGGTTCGAGCAATCGACCCAACAGCTCTTTTCGCTGTGGAAACCAATGCTTCAGATCATGCTATTGCCGCTACCCTAACCCAGAATGGACAACCAGTAGCTTTCTTCTCTTGAACACTTTTAAATAGTGAACAAAGGCACTCATCGGTGGAGAAGGAAGCGTATGCCATTGTTGAAGCCCTAAGGAAGTGGCGACACTATTTCACTGGACGCCATTTTTGGCTTGTGACTGACCAGCTCAGTGTTGCTTTTATGTTTAACTCTAAATCAGCTGGTAAGATTAAAAATGATAAAATTGCTAGATGGCGAGTCGAACTCTCCTGTTACCACTATGACATTGTATATCGCCCGGGTAAAAAGAACATACCAGCTGATGCATTCTCACGCGTATGTGGTGCCACCAGTGTGGATGAACTAAAGGAATTACATGACAATCTGTGTCACCCTGGAATGTCTCGTATGGCTCATTTTGCCCGATGTCGAAATCTGCCTTATTCTGTGGAAGAAGTGAAGATGACTAATTCTTGCTCTGCATACTCTGAACTTAAACCTCGGTTTTGCAAGTTTGACTCTGGGCATTTGATTAAAGCTACGCAGCCATTTGAAAGACTCAACATAGATTTTAAAGGACCACTTCCATCACATTCAAGGAATAAATATAGCCTTACTGTTGTAGATGAATTCTCTAGATTCCATTTTGCATTCCCTTGTTCAGATATGACTACTGGTACGGTAATTCAGTGCCTGGTGCAGTTGTTTGCAATCTTTGCTATGCCTGCATATATACACTCTGATAGGGGAGCTTCCTTTATGTCTGAGGAGTTGAAAGACTTTCTACTCAAAAAAGGGGTAGCAACTAGCCGTACGACTCCTTACAACCCTAGAGGAAATGGCCAGGCTGAGAAGTACAATGGGATTATTTGGAAGACAGTGCTGCTAGCTCTTAGGACGAGAGGCTTACATGTATCCCAATGGGAAGTTGTTCTTCCTGATGCACTCCACTCTATTCGATCACTGTTGTGTACCTCTACAAATTGTACACCACATGAACGATTCTTCCGGCAAACAAGAATGTCTACTTCAGGGCGAACACTACATTCGTGGCTTGTCAAGTTCATGTCAAGTTCCAAGTCAAGTTCCCGGATGGCAGGATTACCACTGTATCATTAAGACACCTCGCACCCATGGCCACAGAGGGCTGCGAGAGTTTGGACCCCAATCTCAACATTCAACAGCAACATCCAGCGATTGCAAAAGCTGAGGTAAACCCCAACCCGCCTCATCCTGAACTACTTCGTTCCGAACAACCTAATTGGGAACCTTTCTCTGACATAACACTCCCTCGAGAAGGTGGAATGCAGGAACCGACTGGAACACTAAAGGCTTCGCTTGACTGTTTTGTTGTTGTCAGATCAGCTGTGTCGTGCCTGTGTACAGGTTTTATTTATTTATTTATTTTATTTATTTATTTATATACAAGAAGGTACATTGGGTTTGTGAGAATACATAGCATTGCATAGTACAGTAATTACACTCTTGTAAAGCCACTAGTACGCGCAGCGTTTCGGGCAGGTCCTTAATCTAACAGATAATTTTAAGTAGGTAAATTCTATCAGAATTAATAAAACGATAACAAATACATTGCAAGAAAAAAAATGAGATGAGAGAGATTAGTAAGTATATTAAAGCACATTGGTATATTAAAGCTCTGATTGATTATATTGACAGCTTGATTGGTAATTTAAACAAGATTAATAGACACCATACAGTAGATTGACAGCACATATAAGAAGACAGCAATGATGACAATGATAAAGATGTTCAGATTGGGTACATAAAGATTGGGAGATTGGGTAGCAATAGATACAGTGAATTTTAAAGCAAAAGGTAAAAAAACTATGAAGATTAAATTAGGTACTTTTTAGTATTGTTTTTGAATGTCGTAAAAGTTGGACAGCTTTTCAATTCAATAGGGAGTGAGTTCCATAGACTGGGTCCCTTTATTTGCATAGTGATAATGGGTCCTATTACATCTGTCCAGGGAGAGTTTCAGAGCAGGATTTGCATTTGCTGATCAGGGGAAGGAAGACACCGACAGTATGGGGGCGTAAATTTTATTAGTACAGGATAAGTAATTCTGCAGAGTAAAACAGGCTTCCAAGTAGGCCTTAACAAATGTATAACATAGCCGTGGCTAACTCAAAGTACACGGAACAACTTAAATTGTTCACCCGAGTAAAATAAAAGTAATCTTGTAGCCTAGTAACAAACTGCAGAAACCTAATGGCCTATTGTCTAGAATTAGCAGTGAGGCGAATGTAACAAATCCAACTCTAAGTATAACAGTCAGGACACCATAAGTGAACAACATAACATAATGGAAACCCTAGCTGGAAATAATCAGGCGGCAGAAAATTACATAGAGACTGGGAAAGCCTGATATGAATTTGGAGAAGAAAATAACCCCAGGCCAGAAGCCGAGCCGCCAAGGAATAAGGAGAAAGAATTTCCTGATCTACTAGGGCTTACTAGTAGAATGGCTGTAAAGTCAAAGTTGTAGCTGCGGACAGCGGAACACTTGGGAACGGGCGCTGCACCCCCACCCCGCAGGCCAGATCCCCCCCCCCCGCCCCCGAAGGGCGAGTGTCCTAGCTGATGATACTACCCTCATCTACTTTAACCCCAACCCACATACACTAAATAATGTTGTTAATAATGAATTAAAAAAAGTCCACTTATGGATGTCAACCAACAAACTAACACTTAACGTAGAAAAGACCTACTACATCTTATTTGGAAGCAAATCTACAAATGCAATTCAGCTTCAGATAGTGTAAACATTAGCAATAAAAATGATGGAAAGTTTCTCGGCCTATTCCTAGACAAGAGACTCAACTTCAGTAACCACATACAACACATAACTTAGAAAGTCTCTAAAAGAGTTGGTATACTCTCCAAAATCAGATATTATGTACCTAACTCTGCTCTCATCTTTCTATATTATGCACTATTCTTTCCCTATCTTAATTATAGTATCTGTGCATGGGGTTCAACCACTGCAAACCACCTCAAGTCCATCATCACCCAGCAAAAGTCTGCTATCAGAATAATAACAAATTCTGCTTTCAGACAACACTCAGCCCCATTGTTTAACTCCCTAAACATGCTAAACATAATCTCACTCTACAAATTCTCTTGTGTCAACTACATTTACAAAACCCCGTTCTTAAATGCAAATCCTGCTCTGAAACTCTCCCTGGACAGATGTAATAGGACCCATTATCACCACACCAGAAATAAATATCTCTTTGATATCCCCAGAGTCAAACTTAATCTGTGTAAACACTCTATGCAAATAAAGAGACCCAGTCTATGGAACTCATTCCCGATTGAATTGAAAAGCTGTCCAGCTTTTGCGTCATTCAAAAACAATACTAAAAAGTACCTAATTTCATCTTCATAGTTTTTTACCTTTTGCTTTAAAATTGCACTGTATCCATTGCTACCCAATCTCCCAATCTTTATGTACCCAATCCGAACATCTTTACCATTGTGATCATTGCTGTCCTCTTATATGTGCTGTCAATCTGCTGTATGGTGTCTATTAATCTTGTTTAAATTACCAATCAAGCTGTCATTGTAATCAATCAGAGCTTTAATATACCAATGTGCTTTAATATACTTACTAATCTCTCTCATCTCATTTTTTTTCTTGCAATGTATTTGTTATCATTTTATTAATTCTGCTAGAATTTACCTACTTAATTTAAACTAAAATTATCTGTTAGATTAAAGACCTGCCCGAAACGCTGCGCGTACTAGTGGCTTTACAAGACTGTAAATACTATGCTATGTATTCTCACAAACCCAATGTACCTTCTTGTATATAAATAAATAAATAAATAAATAAATAAATAAATAAATAAATAAATAAATAAATAAATAAATAAATAAATAAATAAATAAATAGAGTCCAGTGCATGGCCTCGGATTCCATAATGATGGAGTTTACGTAAGAGGTAATTGTGATTAACAGTATCAAAGGCCTTTCTCAGGTCAATGAAGAGTCCAATCGGAAACTCATTTTCGTCAAAGGCTGAGTAAATTATATCAAGGAGACTAATAATTGCATCGTTGGTACTCTTTTGGGAGCGGAAGCCAAAGTGACAAGGGCTAAGAATGTCGAATTTTACGAGATAGGAGAAGAGCTGATTGTAGATAATTTTTTCAAATATTTTTGATAGTATGGGTAAGTTTGATATTGGTCTATAATTGTTTATGTCTGCCGGATTACCTCCTTTATGAACTGGTGTTACTCCTGCTTTTTTAAGGATATCAGGGAAGGTATGACACTTAAGGGATTTGTTGAACAGCAGAGCAAGGGCATGGGAGGCTCTCTTGTATACAATGGATGGGATTTCACTGATGTTCCCAGCTTTTCTTAGTGAGTGTATGATGGACACAACATCTGTCGGGCTGACTGGTGAAAGGAGAAGAGAGTTTGGACAGCTGCCTGAGAGATATGTGTCTGAGTCTGTGGGATTTTACTGGCAAGGTTAGCACCAACCGATGAAAAGAAGCTATTAAATTCATTCGCCATTTCTAAATCAGATGACGGTGTAAGGCCATCCTTAGAGAGTGTTATCTGGTTGTGGGAGTGTTGTTTAGTTCCTAGGATATTTGAGATGGTATTCCATGTGCTTTTCATGTTGCCTTTTGCTTCTTTGAATCAAGTCTCATAATATGAAAGTTTAGCTTTTCTTATGATACTGGTAAGCACTGATGAGTACCTCTTAACTACTTCCTTTGTGACTAGGCCAATCCTAAATTTCTTTTCATATTCATGATTTTTGCTGATTGATTTAATTATGCCACTTGTAAGTCACGGGTTATTTGTTCTTTTATCTGTTACTTGTTTCGTAAGGAGGGGACAGTGAGTGTTGTAGAGGCTTAGAGTTTTGGAGAGAAAGAGGTTAGTTAATGAGTTTATATCCTGTGTTTTATTAAATTCAGATTCCCAGTTAATATTGTGAAGGGCATTAGAGAGATTGCCTAAAGCTGATTCACTGTGTAGCCTGAATGAGAGTTTCTTGCTTTCTGGAGGTATTGTGTCCATGTTTGCTATGAGGAAGGTAGGATAGTGGTCAGTTGTTCTGTCATAGATTACCCCAGATGTAAGGGGAGCTGTTATATTAGTCCATAAGTGATCCAGGGTAGTGGCAGTTTGAGTGACTCGAGTGGGCTTGGTGATTGTGGGGATTAGCATACAGAAGTGCATGCTGTTATGGAAATAGTCAACTTGAGGGTTGTTTTGAAGACCCAGGTCAATATTGAAATCACCTCCCAGAATGATGTGATTTTTGTTGAGATTGTTATTTATGATAAGATTAATTACGTTATCTGAGAATGAAGCTATGTTGGAATTAGGAAATCTATAGATGGCATCGATAGTCAGGGAGGATTTAAGGGATTTACTGGAGAACTTGGCAAAGGTATATTCACAATAGTCGTCTCTATCACTAATGACACTATTGCAGATGAAGGTATCTTTGTAATATATTGCTGTGCCACCTCCTTTATTATTAGGCCTGCAGTTATGAATGGCTTTATAACCAGCTAAGTTGTAGAGTTGGGTATAGTCTTTACTTAGCCAAGTTTCTGTTAAAATGATGAATGATAATTTAGTACTTAGTGCTGTGAGTAGTGCATTTATATCATCAAAATGTTTACCAAGTGACCTAACATTTTGGTTGTAAACTGATAAGCAGGTGCTATTTAGGAGTTTGTTTTTTGCAAGATTTGCTGTGTAATACCTGCAATAATGATGATCAATGTGCTGATTTGTGTGGATATGGGACAGATTTCGATCAGGATCAATATCAGTAAGCATATAGATACAATAATGTCACGATACAATAAGATAAGCAATTACAGGAACAGTTAAATACTAAATCTGCTGTAAATAGAAAGTAATTATAGCAAAACACAACAATAAACGTAGGTACACAAAAAATAGAAACAATTTGAAGTAGAGTAAAGATCCCCGTAGATAGCCAGGAAGGATACAGTAGTTAGGTTAAGAGAGAAGAAAAAATCAGTAGACTGACAAGAATAATATGTAGCAAAAAATAATGAGACATAATAATCGTAAAGTAAAAATAATCTTAAAA